GTCCCGAAGCGATAGGTTGCTAATACGCGCGCCGACGCCTTCGTACTTCGCGATAGTTGTGAAGAAACTCGGATGTTGGTCCTATTTCTAACACGATAGGTGTGACGAAACTCGGATGTTGGTCCTATTTCTAACACGATTTTGCATGTAAACTCACACACAATAGTTGGTGAACAAACGTTCGATTTTCTATTAATTCTTCGATATGAAAAATAACAAGAGGAAGGGCCTTTATATAGGCACCAACTAGATCTAGTCCTATTCTAAGTATAATTCTAACTAGGAAATAATATCTAGTCCTAAGGCAACTAAATGTCTTGCATACCAAGACTTAGCAAAATAAATAAAACTCCTAACAATCTAAACAATTCACGCAACTAATCCTACTAAACTAATATCACGGCTAAATAATAATCCTAACACTAACTCACGCTAACTATATGCTAACAATCTAAATATATACTAAACTAATAATCCACCAATCTCTAAACAATAAACCAACCTGCTACTAATTATTTAAACTAATAAATCTAACTAAATATGTCCTAACCAACTAACAATTAAACTATGATAACTAATATAAGACAATAATTAATTAAATAAATAAATAATCTAATAATATGTCTTCTAGAATCTTCACCCCTCGGCTCGCACGGCTCGCTTCGTGTACTTGCGCATCACGTCCGTGTACGCCCCCGCGTGCTTGTTCGCGCGCTATTCCTCGCCTCACGAGGCTTCTTGAACCTTCTCGTGCACGTGTCTCATACCGGGTCTCACCCAATCCTCGTCGTCGACCTATAGGGTTTCCAAGTCTCGGCCATGCGCGTCTTGACCTCGTGTGATAAGCTTGAGTCCTTGCCTTCACTCGGGACTTTCGTGCTCGTGCGCCTCGCATACGGGCTCGTACCCTTCTCTGAGGCCATGCGTGCATGCTTCTGGCCCTTTTCTCGGCCTTCTCAAACCGTCCAGGCCATCGGCTCTCGACATCCTCGGGCTTCGAAAACCACTTCTGCATCATTCCTTCCCCCTTCAAATGAGTCTTTGTCCTCAAGGACTCGCCATCGGCCATCACCTTCTTGTCCTCGGTTACCTCGTCTTCAAAGAAGCCCGACTGATCGAACATGAACATTGGCTCTTCGTCGGCGAACTCCTTCTTGGTCTTGGCCCGTCGTTCACACTTCTCTTCGAAGTCCTTTCGCTCGTACAACTCCTCTAAATATTTTTGCTCCCACGGGGTCATGCTCCTCTCCAACCCTTGCAATATTGCAAGATCCTCCCACTCTATCTCGTCTAATGGCTCAAAATACATGATTTTTTTTATTTCTACTAACCCTCACGCACTCAATTTTTTTTTTTTAACACCTCACGTAAAAAAAAACAAAAATCAAAGATAATTATTTTTTTTCCTGCTACTTAACTC